GGGAGCTGGTCTCTGGTGGGGAGCTGGTCTCTGGTGGGGAGCTGGTCTCTGGTGGGGAGCTGGTCACTGGTGGGGAGCTGGTCTCTGGTGGGGAGAGCTGGTTTCCCCAAAGTATGCTCTGGAGCACTCTCATCTCCACCGTTCTGAACTGGGTCAGAAGCCCTCTGTTAAACAGATTCTGGAAGAAAGAGGGATGGTCCAGAGTGGGTTAGACAAATGGTGTTGATGGCATGCTGGAGAGACACACTCCTTCACACGCTGCCTGTGTTGACGGTCCAAACCCACACCAGCTCTCCCAGAAAGAGGCGTGGTAAAAACATCAGCATGCTTTTCTGAAGACTCCATTCCTCTTTTAGTTCAGTGATAAACACATTCAGTGTTCAAAATATTTTATTTAATTGCTTTGTTAAATGCCAACTCTTTGTGCAACTATTTAAACATAATAAAAAGAGTAAATCTAAAAAAAATCTCTTGGTAGATGTTAATCATTACCATCTGTTCTGTCATCCGTAGGGAATGGATGAAGGCTTTCTTTGTTACAGATCTAGGCAGTTTATCCGCATCCTAAATTGTGACCCAGCATAGGAGTAACCAGACTGCACAGATGAGTCTTCATTACCTTCTCACCTCTTCAATAGAACAAAGAGTTGATGCTAAAAACGTCTTGCCTGTTTTATTGTGATCGTAGCCTTTGGTTTTCAAAAATGAGAATAAGGACTAGTTTTAAGAGGGCTCATCTGTTCTGGTGGAGCAGAGTCACACTTTAAGTCGTGATTAGTAAAGGACGAGCATGTCGAGCCTAAATGGATTCCCGCTGTATCTCACCAGCTGCTGTGCACTCACCAATGTGTCTCTGTGTTACAGTGGGCCAGGGAGGCGTTGCGCTGGTCTCTGACATGTGTCCAGACCCTGGGACCCCGGAAAACGGCCGGAGAGCAGGCTCTGACTTCAGGTAGGGAATGAACGATCTGTTGTTTTCCAATGCACGTGCCCTCTCCACCTGCACTTTCCTTCAACTCTTCTACCCTTTGGATTTAAGGACACAGATTCTCAAGTGCCACGCAGCAATGGTTTGTGTCGAATGCCATCATTCTGTGCTGAAACATTGTAGATGCTACAGAATTGGCGCTCTTCAGAATACACTTGGTGTCCCAAAATACAGGACCAAATTTGTCTTCAAATATTTGTTTCTATTTTTCTTCCATACGTTTGATATTCCAATGCCTTCAATGTTGCAAGTTAAAGGGACAAAACTTAATCACAGCCTCGTAATAATTCCATTAAATAATCTTAAAATGATGAGTGTTGGGAGAAGTCAGTGCTGTTTGTTCAGAAAATCATGTGGGGTGATTTTTGCTGTGGCAATCTGGAGAAGGTGAAATCTGGAGAAGGTGATGAAGATGATGATGATGATGATGATGATGATGTGTGTGTGTGTGTGTGTGTGTGTGTGTGTGTGTGTGTGTATGTGTGAGTCAGTTTGAGAAGCTTCACATTTGTCTCCTTACATGATAGAATCGGTATAGGCTAGAAAGCAAAGAGTAAAGTGGGCAAGAAACAAGATTTCCCTGATCACAACCTTTCCGCTTTGGGGAAGACAGGTATGAAAGAATAGGTGCAGAGAATTAAGGCCACCAATGTAAGAGCAAAGTGTGAGGCAGGTGGTGAGGCCTTTGGGGAGGCAGGAACATGACATTCTGTGCAACTGGAAGAGCAATGACGTTTTATTTGTAATGATGGGGAAATCGTAGAGTTACCTGTAGCATGGCTATAATTAGTTTAGTAGTGGTATTCAATTTCCTATATAATAGGGTAGACCTGGAGTGAGTTACTATAGAAGAGGCTTAATTAGTGGGTAGTTCTGAAGGTCAAAGGTCGAGGAGGCTCATCTGGTGATCATCTTGACAGCACAGTGCTGCAGAGTTAGGGCCGAGACAAAGAGAGGCCAGCCCCTCGTGGGTGTGACTTCTCCTACTCTTTGTCCATCTACTTAGAAACCCTCCAGACTCCACCATGGAAGCTGCTCCTAGCAACCTGTATTCATGGGATCACTTGCCAAAAGGTCCCCCTCTGTGTCTTCCTTGGAGAATCTTCAGGCTGTTTATACATCTCCGCGTATGTAGCAACCAACAGTCCTGTAGCTCTTGGGAAATGACTTGGAAGGCTGTTCAAGTTTTACTGTTCGCTTTGTTTTATTCTAGATTTCATGGAACTTTATCCCTAGACAATTCTGTGGGTAAAGAGAGTTTGAAATTTTGCTTACCAAATGGAGAATCTTTTGTTTCTTTTCCTCACCTGAATGCACTGGTCAATGCATTGGTATTACAAGGTTTACCGGAAATGGTGGCTGGTCTCTGCCTTCTCTCTCAGCTGAGGTTGACAGAATCGGGTTTGAATCTTGACCCTGGTATTGCTGAAGATGTTTTGATAGATGTTTTGTGGGGTTGAGGTGTGCTCTTCTGTCTTTGAATGGTGGGGAGTAGATTCTTAGACATGAAATATTCCATTTGACCTTAAGAAGGATGTAGGTTTGATTGCTGCCTGGAGAGTTCCTTCATGCTGCGGTGCCTGTCTGGTCTGTGTGCTGGTGGTGGTGGTGCTGAAGTCATGTTGGTTTTCTGGTAGCTAGCTCCATGGGGAAGCGTGGATCAAAATTTTCTAGAAGTTTGCAGTCTTGCTCATTTCTCATTGCAGCTCTGTCAGCTTTTGCCTCATGCATCTTGAAGCTTTGTTGACAGGTATATGGAAATGATGGGTACTTCACGCCTTTTACTCAGTGCATACCCTCTGTGTTTTGAAATAACCATCTTTACCTTAGATTTTGTTAGGAGTTACTGGGGTTCAGACCAGGGCCTTGTGTCTATGCCAGTGTTGTGCCACCAGGCCAAGCCCCAACCCCAGCTCTTGGCCGTTTTCTTTACTCTGAAATCAAACTTGTTACGATTACAGAGCATCTTATCAGAAGCATCTGAGAAAAGGAGCGGCTCATCAGGGCGGACATGATTTTCAGGAGTCTCACTTTTATCATTGAACTCTAATTTTGTTATTGGTTACTAATTAGGTCAGTTATTTCCTTTGAAGTAAAACTCATTTTTACTGAAAATGTATGACAAATACTCTAATCCTAGCTGTGATCGTTTGCCAGTCATTGGGTCATAATGAGGCGTTCGCTGGGGAAATAAAAGCAGCTAGCTTGACTCAGAGCTCAATTACACGGGTGTGCTCTCCCAACACTCCTTCAGACAGCAGTGTGCATTACAGATGCATTCTATCTCCAAGAGTTGAGATACATTAAAATAAATAGCTTTTCCTGCTCCATCAAGACCCTTCTAAAGATGTTCTGGACTTTCCTCCCCACACACCACACGTCAGAGAACAACATTATAAATTGATCGGTTCTAAGACAGCCTTGCATTTGCAATGGTAACATGATAAAAAGCAGCACGGTATGTCGTAGTTTGTCAAGGTTTGTTACACCCCCTAGCCTCAGTGCTCCAAACAGAGATCAGGTGTGATTATTTGTTACCAAATGGAAGGAGAAACTGAGGCACAAAACTGTATAATGATTTTGACTTACAGACGGTCTGAAAGTATCCGTCTCCAGACATTCATAGGCTGGCCAAGAAAACTATATGCATAATGTGTGTAAGATACCTCAATCCAGCTTGCAGGAACTGGCCTTGTGTGGCATGTGTGTTTCATTAACTGAGTATCCACGGATGTCCACGGCATAGTAACTCGCAGCTGCGTTCCTGCGGAAGCTCCACCTTACGGTGTGTCTGAGGCAGAGATGACCAGATCCCCTGGATGAAACGATTCTCGAGTGGACCTTGCGTTAAATGCACGACAGTTGTTGGTGTTTGTAACAGAATTAGGATATTCTCAATTGTTTAGTGCTGTGGGGACTTTTTCTTTATTGGAAAGAGTTCAGCTCTTTCTAAATGCTTGTATTTGAATCTAATGGCTAGTATATTATACAAATGAATGACTTATATATTTGAGGTTGGTAGACGGACTCATTTGCAGTAATGGTGTATAATTCGGGTTTGTTTTTGCTCGGAAAGCGCTCGCTTCATTATGTTAGCAAAGTATTCCTCATTTATTTTATTTGTGTTACCATTGCTTCTTTGTAGATTTTTTTTTTTGCATAGGCAACCCAAATGCCAATTCCATCATTGTGTATAAATTATTCAAAGTGAAGGGAGCCCTCAACTCATGGCTCTGATATCTGAATTCGAGTCAGTTTGAGGATGTGTCTGACAGTACCCTTCATCATGGGCCAGCGGCTAAAAGGCAGTTTATTCATGGGAACTGAATATTTATGCATAAGATTGATGAATACTCAAATACTCCTGTGTGGCAGGCAGCCGTGTGGCACGGCCGAGCTATCGGTGGGTCTCCTGCCCAGGGTTGCTCATTTCCTATGCCAGAGGGATGTGCACCCGTGTCCAAGTACCTGCAATTATCCTCATTTTTATAAATAGAACTATTGAAATTCAGCACACTAACCTTCTAAAGTTCTGCATCCACCCAGCATCAAACCTGAGATTTGAACTCAGACTTCTATTGCTCTTCACTGTTTGTGACAAGAATAATTATCATAACTCAGCTGCTCACACTTACTCCGCTGGACACTGGGCAGGGCGGGAGGCTTGGTGAGGAGTCACCAGGGGGTGTGGAGCCTCGGTATCCCCACCGGCTCCCGGATGTCAGAGCACAGGTCTGTGGAGGGCTGAGGCCCAGCCTTGCTGCCACTGAGCCTGGAGAGCTGCGGAGATCACTGGCCCAGCTGCAGGCTGCAGGGCCTAATCCCAAACCCTCGCTGAGAAAAATCTCCAGCATACTCCATAGATGCTGAAGCCAGGTGGACATCTGGAAAGTGGGCCTCAGACCTCTCTGTCTCCTTCCACAGTGGCTCCCCCAAAGTCCTGAAGGATCCCCCCTGAGACCAGCCCAGGCTGCCCCACCTGGTCCCAAGGACTCCTCCTGGGGGATACCTGTTCCCCCCTGTGCACCTGCCTCTCACTCCTAAGGTTTCTGTCTTCAGTGTGAGACATCCCATAGTGAGCATAAACCCACAGAGTGACCTCACATGTACACAGTGACATCACAACTACACACTGACCTCACATGCACACACAGTGACCTCACATCCACACAAAGTGACCTCACATCTGAACGCAGCCAGCTCACATGTACACAGTGACCTCACATCCACACACTGACCTCTGATCTACACAGTGACCTCACATCCACACACAGTGACCTCACATCCACACAAAGTGACCTCACATCTGAACACAGCCAGCTCACATGTACACAGTGACCTCACATCCACACACTGACCTCAGATCTACACAGTGACCTCACATCCACACACAGTGACCTCACATCCACAC